TTGAGCACCTGCGTGCCTTCTACTAATACGTTAGATGCCTGCAGTGTTGGCAGTGCACTTGCCCGGGTCACAAAGACGAAGCTGCATCGCGGTCCGTGTCAATGAGAGGCAACAAGCTCATTTCAAAAGACGAAGGCACTTGGTCTATTCCTGACGTCTATTCCTAAGGCTCATAAAACGGAAGGGCATTTGAGTGGGCTCCTCACACACGCCTTTCAAAGCAAAGTATCGACTTAAGCAAGCGCGTCGTTTGCGCGATCCCTCCCTTTTGACTGACCGCTTCATCGTACCTTCTCGGGACATCATTGCGATTCTCGCCTTGACCAAACTTCTTCAAGGCAGGCTATCTCTCTACATGCAATTGTCCGTCACGAGTTCCACTCTTAGCGACAGCAACACCTATTTCAAGGGCTGAACAAGCTTGGGGAAGTTCACTCGTGTCACAAAGTCAACCTTTGAGTTTTCCCAGCTACACTTCTCATGTTCTTCTGGATATGTCGGCAGGCGGAATCACTTACGATGGAGTGCCCGGCGCCCGTGGCACTCTATTCAAGGATCTGAAATTCTTTGTTTCGCTTCGCGTACCCGGCAGAGTGAGAATCCTGGACCTTATCAAGGTAGGCAATCACTTCTAGAATGCCAGGCGTTCTGGAAGCTGACTGATGCAGCAAAACGGCGGCACAATTGCGAAGTTGGAAACTCAGGCGGATCACTACATTACCTACGATACCGGGCCTAAACCATCTGGGTCGCTCGATTGGAAGTTTGTCAGAGATTCCGTCGACAACGGCGCGGTACAAGAAACGGATAAATATGAGATGCACCAAACTCCCACAGCTTCGCGTCCTGTCGGCTCCTCTCGTCCTGCTGGTGGCTCCCGTCCTACAGCCAAATCAGCCAATTCTGCCCCTATTAAAGGAACCCGCACGCCGTTCAACACCGCCGACGATGAAAGTCTCGCCAGGTGGGTGCTTTCGCATGCGGCAAACAAAAAAAGCGGCAATGAGATCTATCAGACATTCGAGGGAATAGTGAGTTTGGTTCTCGACGTATATTCTTCTCTTACTTTTACTAAACGGTTGTAGAACAATCGTCATACCTGGCATTCTTGGAGAGATCGATGGGTAAAGAAGCTATCCAAATTGCCTCCGGCTGAGCTTGAGAAGATGGCAGCTAATGCTCCGGATATCGCATTGCCGCCGCCACCGGCAGCCGCGACTCCTTCCAAGCGATCCGAAGCTACGCGACCAGCAGTGAAGAAGGCGCCTCCTCTGGCTACCCCAAAAAGTGTCTCGCAATTGCCTCCGGCGAAGGCAGAGGTGAAGGCAACGGTCAGGCCGAGCTCCGCCACCCATCAGCCAGCCGTCAGAAGGCCATTGACTCCAGCGAAGAGAGCCAAGTTCACAGAGGCAGAGGATGACTTGTTGATTCGCGAGGCAGGCAGGTTTGGCGGTACACCCGACACCAAATTCTTCAAGAAATTCTCAGAAAGGGTACGTCTGCTCTTCACTGTAGTGATAATGGCTCTAGACTGAACCTAAGTAGCATTCCAGTCATTCAGAGGCTGCGTGGAAACGGCACTGGACACAAATATTGGAGCCGCGACTTCGCGAGAGCTCTAAGGAAAGCCTTGACGAGAGCGGACTCTTGCCTGAAGAATCCTCTACAGTCAACATAAAGACCCGACCGGACACAGCTCCCAGCGGCGAGTTCACTCGACAGATGGGACGCCCACAGGACGAGAGGCCAACCGAATCTAACAGCCAGCCCACGGAGACTTCTGAACCCAAGGCCGTCTCATATGGTGCAAGCCCCGCCAGAGAGGAAGTCGAAGAAGCGGAACAGTCACGAGAGCCAAAAGTCGAAGAGTCCCAAGCTGTTACGAGACAGGATTTCTACGACCAACTGTGGGGCTACCGAAAATTCCACCATATCGATACCCAGACCAATCCCGAGATCAAGGATCAATCTATCGACTTGTGGCTGTTGTGGCAAGCTGTTGGAGACCAGTACCAGAAAGGTGCGGTCGAAATCGACTGGGCAGCAGTCGCAGATAAATTGGGCTTCCACATTGAAAACGCTCAGTTGGTACAACAATGCTTTGCAGACCATGTCGCCGGCTTCGCAGCCAGCGGTCTGTTAGACGAACCTGACGTAGAATCCGAGGACGATGAGGTTTCACAGCCCGAGGATGAAGACGCCGTACCAGATGTGCAGCTGGAACCTCCACAGGTACAACAAGCGGTCACCCCCAGTGCTTCTAGAAAGAGGCAAGCAATCGTTGTCGAGACGTCTGGCTTTCCGTCGACACCAAACAGCCGGAAGAAGCGACAGCGCCTAGGCCCAGACGACGAGATCCCATCGACCCCCGACGACAAGTTGGGTCTCGCAAGCTTCGGAAACCTTGGCCCTAGCCCCTCGCTCAGTGTCAAACAGTGGACGGCCAGTGAGGAGCAAGTTGAGGGGGCCACAGAGAGAGACGTGGAGGAAGAAGAGCCCGAAGAGGATCTAACTGGCAAGCCCCGTCGTTTGGAGCCCGAAACACAGGACTTCGGCTTCGATGATGCCTTCAATGCAACTGACAAATCGCAAGACAGTATCGAGTTCGATATTTCACCGTCACAACAGCTTTTGGGCGAGGAAGAATCCGTGACCCCTGTGCCTCTGTCCTACAAGAGAGATAAAGGAAAGGGGATCGACCGGAACCAATCACTCACTCTTACACCAGTTCAAGAGTGGCCCGCCGAAGAGGGGGAAGGAGAGGAGGAAGAGGAAGAGGAAGAGGAGGCGGAGGAGAAAGGAGCAGAAGAAGCAGGCGAAGCTCCGAAAGATGCCACAGACCAAACCATGACCGACTCCCAAGAATCGACAGATAAGACCGTCGAGCTTCAGGACCTCATGGACCGGTTTGTCTCGTTTGGCTACCCGCGCGAAGATATCGTCTTGGCGCTGATGGCTACTTCGCTATGCACACCACTGGCCACAAGTCTGGTGAAGTACTTGAAGGAGCACAAGGACATTCCCAATAATTGGCAAGGAGTGTGGACGATCAACGATGACAAACGGCTGAGACGTATCGATGCTGCTGGCTCAGAGGGTGGCCCAGTGGATGCCAAGATCCAGAAGTATTGGGATTACCTCGAGTCGAAGCACACGCGGATCCGTATCGCGCAGAGAAGGAAGTTTCTTGCTTATCTAGATGAGACCGGGCAGAGCTCTCAATGAAGTAATGGCCGGGATATATCTCTTCATCCGCCTACAAGTCTAAGGCATATTGATAGCGAGTACTGAGCCATCAGTACCAGACTTTTTGCAATCAACACCATTCATCATGACCACACCTGGAGTCAAGATATCTGTGCCATCTATATTAAATGTCCTGTTAACCGTACACTGTCGTCTTGAGATCATCCCTTATTCCTTCACAATTGAGTACCCATAATGCCAGCCTTCCTTCCTCATATCCTCCCTCACCTTATACGCCTCCTCAGCAACATCCAACAGCCCCAAGTCGACCTCGACAATCTCCATCGCCTCTTCGGCACCCAGCTTGCCGAGCGCACCGACAAGCGGCATCGCAACCTGACTGACACCACAATACCGGACCCTCGCCCCCTCCTCCCGAACCTCCACCCCGCCTCCGCCCGCGGGCCCGCCCGCGTTGACGAGGACCACGGCCGCCGTGTTCTCAAACGCCCTCGTGACCATGACATTCTCCAAGAAAACACGCTCTGAGTCGCGGTTCACCACCTCGGTCGCGCCTTTCCCCGCCCCGTTGTCGCGCTTGTACTCGTCGGCGAGCCAAAACGCGGGACAGACAATAATCCTCGCCCCGTCGCGGATGAGCTCCCTAAACGCCTCGGGGAACGCCAGGTCCCAGCACACCAGCATGCCCGCCCTCCCCAGTGGCGTGTCAAAGGCGCCGTGCGGCTCGGGGCCCTTTGTAAGGTGTGGCCTCTCGTTGTGCCACAGGTTCTTCTTCTGGTACCGCCCCAGCACGGCGCCGTCGGGACCGATGAAATATGCAACGTTCAAAAGGTCCAGGTCGTCTGCTCCCTCCTCGCCGTCCGGCTCCACAATCGTCCCCGGCACGATGGACACTCCTAGCTCCTTGGCCAGGGCCTGATACCGCTCAAGGTACGTCCAGGACTGCGCGCAGGCGGATACGAACTGAGGGTGGTCGGGGACCCATGATGTTAGATGATACTCGGGCAGCACGGCTAGCGAACAGCCCTTAGAAACGGCGGTGCGGATGTAAGCCTCTGCCTTGGTGAAATTCTCCTCTGGCGCGACGACCTGTGATGCTCATCAGAACTCTGTTTTTTTTTCCCCCACGGGGAAGAGGCAGAAGTTCCCCCCGCCGCAGCCGCAGGGAAACCTCGTGAGCCATGGCGCATGAAAAAGGAAGCGCGGGAGCTAGACTGGGCTAAGCATTTTCGATGAGGGGTAGTCCTAGACTTACTGACCTTAGGGTGCATTTGAATGAGCGCGATCTTGACCTTGTCCGCCATCGCCGCTGTCTTCGTCTCGTCTTGAGTTAATCCCGCAGCTTCAAGACGGTCGGGTGTTTGGAGACAACGGCAAAGTTTAGCTGGCGGTCGGGGTCAGGCTATGAGGAAAGACAGCAATACGCCTTCATGCACTTCCCCGCAGTCAGTCTGCCTTGCACTGGGATATAGGCACACAAGATAGCAAAAGGGGAGATGAATGGATGAGAATGATCAAACTCCGGTTAAAAGTGCATAGTGCCCGAATAGGCGACTTGCTAAGTTCATATGCGAGAAATGATGTCAGAGGCAACCGTTTCCCAGTACTAATTTCCACCGATTGCAATTACCATAGTCCAGTAACCCATCCGCAAAAAACAACGAAAAGCAAGAAGGAAGGTAAAAGATATAATCACAAACGCCGGAAACAATTCGCCCTGCCCAGATGTCATAAACTTTGTATGTGTTTCGATTTGGAGATTCATGTCGAATGTCGCTCTCGACCAGCAGCTCTCAAGTCGTCGTCGATCCTCGGATATTGCGTTGAATTAGCGACAGATCTCTGGAAAGATAATTTGGGGACGCCGTGGAAATGAAGGTCTTGTTCATGGCGCCAATAATTGGAGATATATGCTGATCAGCCTCGAGGATACCCGGCGAGAGATATTTGGCATAAGACACGACGAAGCCAGCAAGTTCGCCTATAAAGCATATTACAATCAGTATCCTTTTCTTGCAAAGTAATGTGTCAACACCATACCGAGCGCAATTAGTCCGAGGTTTCTCACTGCTGATGGTGGAAGACCGTAAGATCCCATGAGTAAAGACGCGGCTGGGCACGCCACATATGGCACCCAACTTGTCCAACCCGGTCGATGGAAAGAACCGCGAACTTCTGATGTCGATGAAGCCATATTGTCAAGTGTATCCAGCAGGTCTTCTGAAATCTGGTTCACGTGTGAAAGCTTATCAGAGTGTGATTCGTATTTCGAGGAAATGTCATCGGTAATGTCTAGGAGTTTCTCCAATCCCTGAAAGATAGTCAGCGGCATGTTTGATTCTTGCAGAAGACTTTCTTCACCAACTTTCTCAAGACTATCTTGTCGGTGAGCTAGTTCAATCGCTCGAATGTGGGATAGTTCCTATTCGATGTCAGTCTAGAAAGCAAGTGGTCGGTCTCAACTTGCTTACCAACTGGCCATGAAGGGATGTAGACGATGCTATAGCTGTTGTGAGAGCAGCCATGACAGCCGCGACCTCATTTCCAGTTCGTTCTTTGAAGTCTGTCAGTGCCAGCTCATGCGATGCTGCAACTTCGGCGTTGCTGCTAAGGACCGTTTTGAGGAGCACCGTCAGCAGCTGTTGCAGGTTCTGGGCATCCTCGAGGCCGCCTCGCATCGCAGAATTTGATGCCTTTCAGTCAGTTGAGTTGCAGTGCTCGGGAATGAGTGTGGCGAACCTACCTGTACCATCTGCATCACGTCCTGAGAAACATATCTGTCCAGGTCTTGTAAGCTGTTTCGCAACTGATCGATGTCTGGGTTCATTTGGCGGAGCTGCTCTGTAGTCTCAGCTGCTCTCAAATTGATCGCATGTAGGTGGGCTTCAAGCTCTTGTTCAACTCCCTCGGACAGTTTTGAGAGGACTTCGGTGAGACGTTGGTATAGACGAATGCTCTGTGCTGCAGCAATATTAGAAATATTCCCTAGGTACGGAGGATAGATAAATACCTTTGTCATTATCTGCGCGAGCAGCTTCGCAGAATCTGAGAGCCTTATGACGGTAGCTCACCCAAGTATTCCACGCAGAGTCGGACTTGGCTAACCCCGAGAGACACGAATCTATCTGCCGAGGTGAGACGTGAAGCTGAGCAACTTTGGAGGTCGGTAGGTTAGCTAGAGCATGTTCTCTGAACGGCGCACATCCAGACGGAATGACGAAACTGCCTCTCTCCAGATCACAGATAGCAAGACTGGCGGCATAGGAGTCCACAAAGTCACGAATTTGTCTGCCGCTGTCGGTGAGAACGGTGGCGTCGTCTTTGCCTTCCAACAGCTGGCAATTGTTGACCAGGAGTCGAGCAGAGATTCGATGGCAGAGAGGTTCCGACTCGAGTTCTTGGAGCTCCTGCATGGCGACGGCGTAGACATTCGGCAAGCGTGATGCGTCGTGAACTACAACCGAGGGGTTGACCAAATGTTCCTCCACAGACCGGGGGGTGTCTGCTCTCCTTTCGACACCTTCCCAAGAGAAGGCTTCGACACCGTCGATCCATGCCCGAATCGACAGCAATCCCAAAAGGATTTTCGGCATGCTGCACCACATTTTGTCGCCTCCGCCGCCTTAGCGTTGTTTGTCCCGGGTTGAAGTGAGTAGAGGGAAGTAGAGGGACTAGAGACGGGGACAGACAGAGTTATGTTGCAGCCAGTGGGATATGGCGAGGCGACGCCGGGTCAGATGCAAGGATATGTGAGGGGAGGAGATGAGTGGGTGTGAAAGAAGGTTGCGAGCCTCGGCTGTAAGTTGTTGGATAAAGACAGTGGAACGAAATGAGGCAACTTCTAGAGTTGGGAAGGGACTTGTCATGGGATTGAAAATAGAAAGAGGAAGGAATGGACCGTGGGATCTAGATCTAGTGTTTGGTCACCAGGAAGGTGCCTTCCTCAACCTGTGGTTCTCTGGTTCAAAAGCGGAAAGAGCCAACTACCAGTTCGCGCCTTCCCATTGACCGTGTACCCCATGACGAGGCAGAACCATGGTGCCTTCCATTTCACCACTGTCCGTTCCTGCAGGACGGTAGATTACCTAACTTGCTGCCTTCAGTCTTATACATAAGTATGTATTCTCAAAAGATTGTTCTTGGTACAAAAAGGCGTAATGAACTTGAGTCATGGTGAGAATAAGTGGGAAGGGACGGCACCGGGCGTTCAAGGGATGAAGTGGTGTTTGAGCTACATCAGATCCATTGGTGACCTCGGAGTGAACCTGAATTCATGAATTGGAAGTCGTCTGAATACAACAATGCGCACTCTTAAGAATACGATTGAGAATTTTACCTGTTAAGATGATTTGGTGAATGAGGATCTATGAGGAATTTATCATCTAGGATCCTTAATGTAATACGATTATGATCAAGCAGTCGGCAGCATTGAATGACATTCGAGCAGAGATCCTGAAGAAACAACACAAATGTAGGCTAGTCCGCTAACTGAAACAGGCCAGAGAGTGGCATACAACGAAAGATATGACCAGTAGTCAAATCGGCGTCTTATTCACTAGATTTTCAAGAGAAAAGGCAGGGTCAGTGTGCCCTCTAAGAAGCTTGCTTCAGAAATAGTCTAAGGGTGACCTTAGTCGTACTATACGAAAGGCCTTTCAGTCGACATCACCACCAACACAGTCTATATAAGAAAATCACTATCCGTCATCCGGGGCGCGTATTCTTCAGTGCCTCGTTCCGGGCTGCCGTCAGGAACAGCATGAAGAACCAGGGTAGCTCTAGAAAACAGCGAATTTAGCTCATGAGTATGACGAGATCATATTGCGATCCACTCCGAAGTCTTTCGCCTCATTGACATCGCATTGCCTGGTGTTATCACTTGGTCTTCAGTCAAGGACGGACCGTATAAACATTGTGTCCCAATTGTCCCAGAAAACTGAGCGCCGAGACAAGGAATTATCACGGCTGTTGGCCTTGAGAGTTATACGCTCAAAAACTTTGGAGGCTGTAAGCTGGGGTTATTCTCGACCGACAACGAGGTCCGACATCTCGATGACTACGCCGAACAACTGTGACCGAAAGAGACCCAATCCGGGTGCCTACGTCTAAGACCCGAGTCCAAAGACGCATCTTTACATGGATAAACGGCTTCCCTCTAGCGACCCTGCAGGAAGTAGTGCGTCGACCTCCCTCCGCTCGGATGGATTTTCTCACTCCAGAGACTACTCGCTGCATAAGGAAGCCTGTCGTGCGCTGCCATGCATGTCTACGAATGTGCGTCTGACAAATGGTGTAAGCAAACGGCCATCCACATCAGCCCATTCGCGCAGAAGCTCGCAGTAGCGGGGTTATTGGAGAAAACTTGAAGGGGGGAAAGGGGGGGACGTCAACCGGCAAGCCACAAGCGTACCAAACATCGCGGCAACATGGACCTCCTCGGGGAAGTGTTCAAGGTTGTATCCCGAAGCGCGTTCTCGCATGGAACCTGCGAGATTTGCAGAGGGACATACATACTTCCCTCCTTTCTTGTGGTTGGAAAGAAACAAAACAGAACACCGAGGTGACTTTTGACGTTTGACACCCTGAGCAGATCACATATCAAAGAGGGACAGTGCGTGATAGGGCCAGGATGGGGGGGCTTATGGTACCCCGGAGGAGTCAACAGGGATCTAGGGTCTTTAAGCATCATCAGGAGCCCAGTCCGCCCCCACCTTTTGACAACAATCTTTACTGCTCACTGCCTTGGTCCGCACATTCATCCTTACCAGAAAGACTCTCCTCTTCAGGGAGCAGAGAGATAGAGAGAGCGCGCGCGTAACATGGGAGAGCGCCTGAGGTAAATCTCGATGTACTTACAGCCAAGAGAAGACAAAGATGCCCGTATCCTTACCCACCGCCTTTTCGTGAAACCATAACCGTAGACAATATTCTTCTGCACTTAGCCGGGTAAAGACCCCAACAACCGACCGTTTGATAGGTTACACATCGAAGGGCCCACCAATCCCGTAGTTCTTCGCCGAAGTGACGTCGGTCGTGGCCCACTGGGAACGACGGACATCGGTGGCATGCTCCCAAAGAAGCTGACGAGAAAGTCCAAGTCCCGACTCCCGGTCTCCTCCCCCCTTTCCCCCTCCCCTTCCAAGCTGTCAAGTCACCCTGCAGAATTCTGATATGTGATGTACCGAAGGGCTTCTGCTCTTCCATTGCTACCTGCATCTCGATTCGTCATTTCCAGTACCGCGGAACGCGGCAAGGCGTCCGACGGGGTCTGGACCACATGGTATTGGTTGCACATCGGAAAACGTCAAATATTTTTCTTCGCCGAGAGAGGCATATATTGACCTCCTGTTAATCCTGTTTAGTCCTCACTTGTCTGAAACTACCACTTTCGGTTCAAGAGCCAGCATTACTGGTGTTCAGCAAGAACTCACTGAATTCTTCTTTCCACTCCCAACACGATCGTTGTGTTGCTTTCTTACCTTGTCAGAGAATCTCCTCTGAGCCTCTCTCCCGCGGACCCAATGCCTTGAAGCTCTATCTCGGAGTGCCTTTTCCGCCTAAGCTTCCTGCTGTTATTAGACAGCCCGCGACCTCAGAGTCCGAAGCAGAGTACACGAGAAGGCAATAGAGCAATTCATTCATACAACCGACTCTAGAGTCACGGTGGGAGGCAACAACTGTCTGAGAGAGTCAAGTCATCTTGAATACACATCTTTCAGTTTGTATGCAAATTTCACTGGGGTCAAAACTGCGGGCATCCAAGTAAATAGATTATGCTGACCGGCAACAGTAACAAGAACCAACATCCACGAGAACGGGGGAGCAAGTAGCAGGCCACAGAGTCGAAAGTCAAGATCGAAAAAGATGTGCACACTATATGACAAGGAGTGGGCCTGCGGCCATAAGGGCTTTCATAACATCGTGTATTGCGAGAAAGTAGGCAAGGGCTGTAAGGGACCGAGTGCCAAACACGAGACGCTTGTTGAGACCAGCGTTTGTAGTGACTGCGTCAGTCGAGCAGCTGACCCCAATCCTCAACAGCGCTGAAGAGTACTCTCCGAGTGATTTTTTGACTCGAGTCACCATCAGAACCAAGCTTGGATAAGGAGAAAGTTGCGCAGGGAGAATGAATGTAGTGGGTACTGATAATTCGTGGGTATTGTTGATTGTAACTAGCAACTCTTGGTAACATGAACAGCGCCATGCCAAAGTAGCTCGCCACGATGTGAAGCCTCACTTGATCCGCCACCTAGGTAGTCCTCCGTTTTTCGCCCGTGTGAAGTTCGCGCATCCTGCGAGACCGATCACGCCTCTCTTACAGAACCATTACCAGCCATCTGGCTTGACACAGTACCAGTAACCCTCGAAGATGTTGTTCATCGAGCAACCACGGAGGCCGCCAATGGCCTGGTTCAGGCCCATAACATCGGCTTTGGTGATGTTGTTTCTGGAGGCGATGGAGTCGCACGTCTCACCACCTGTAGCTTTGTAGAATTTGATGCATTTTGGCCACATTGGCTCGAGGTGAGGGTTTGGGGTGGCGATGGGGCTGGCTGGGATAGCAACGACCGAGGTCGAAAGCAGGAGGACGGTGGCGATACTCGTCACGAACTTCATGTTGACCGAAAAACGAGGGCGGATTAATGACTCGGGAGGTAAGGCGAAGAAGAGGATGGGTTGTGTGATTCTCTTGGAAACTATCGAGAAGTTGAGGAGGGTGTATTTATACACTCTGAAGGACTGATGTCTGAGGGACGGGCACTGATGCTCTCATTCACTATGGTGATACCAGCGACTCTGCCGCTCCTGATGCTCTTTGACCGAATTTCGTATTGTCCAGCGCTGGCCAACAATTGAATGTAGATACGAGCATCAGAGCTTCTGCACTTGCAGCAAACTTGATTGGGGCAGCATAAAATCGAACAAACTTATATGAGATAAAATTGTCGAACGACGACGGGACGCAAGTCGGGGCCATGGGGAACGCAAGGGAGGAAAAGCAATTAAACGATGTATTCACAGAAGTTCTAGACGTCTTTGCGCATCGTTGGCTCAACGGCGCCAACGGCATTCGGGGTATCTTGTCTCGACCGTTCCACGTGGGTGCCGCCGCCACAAACGGTTCTACCACCAAGTCTTCATTAGAATTGCGGCATAACCGTTGCGCCTGTCTGTTCGAGGCAAGGTGAAGTATCTTGGCAGGGGGCGGAACAGGGCGATGGATGCGACGACGAAGGGGAGGAGCGGAGAGGACTCCGTAGTGTTCCCGACGTTTGAGAACCTCCGCGCCGGTCCCACCCCGAAGAGCACGGCAAGTGTGTATGGATTTGGGGAACGGCGAATCACGGTCCTGCTTCCATTCACAAACGGGACAAAAACGTCAAAGGAGGGACGAGAGGTGGTGGACAGTTTTGACTGGACCGACACCAATTCGGGAAAGATGTCTACGTGGTAGAGGAATTTTTAGGGGGGCACGGGGGAGACCAAGCCAGAAGCAGCTGGACCCTAACGGAGCGGGAAGTCTATTCTGGGGCCGACGCTCGGGCCAGCTTGCAAGGCTGACAACGAGGGCGCGCTGTGGTGGGGCCGGATCGACGCACATCCA